TAAATCATAGATTGAGGTTAGTGCCTGCTAAGAAACGGATGGATCTCAGAAAAAGCAAGCATTCAACTCGCAGAAAGAGAATGCCACCAAAATATCCTTAATATAGAAGGTCATAGTAGAAATAAACTTTTTAGCAGCAACCATATATTTTGTAAATACAGATACAAGTTAAGAAAACAATTCGAAGAAAAACTAAATACAATAAGGAAAATAATATCCACATAAACATGTGGCCAGACTTAAATCTACTTATTGATTACAAAAAAGTTTCAATATTTAATCTATGAATAGACTATTTCAGTAAGTAACGATACAGCATAAAGACAGTACCTTAAAAATTGCAGTACCTGAGGTCGATACAAAGTTATTCACAGCGAAGAGAATACATGAGCAAGCGAAAAACAGAAAATTGTGAGACGTAAGAAAGAAGAATAATTCAAATTACAAAAAAAAGGTACGTTTAAAAAAGTGCAATTCGTGGATAATTGGGTTTTAGCTTGTAACCCCATGGCGATTGACCTTATATACCAAATATAAAATTATGAACAAAGATTAACATTGAAAATCTGTGTTATTTATATTCTATTACGTGAAAAAGAATGGGAGGGGGGATATTATTTCTAATTGTATTATAGGTGAAATGTATATTTAATGTAATTTGAGAAACAAGTCGTTCATCTGATTGAATAAATAAAATACTTCTTATTTTTTTTTTATTAGATGTAGAATAAAAAAGAATTTTCCGAAGTTTCTATGGGAATACGTGATATAAATATATTATTATAATTTTCTTACTAAATGTTTTTATAATAAAATATTACTTTCGCGTTGTTTACACATATTTTAAATACATTATTAGGACTTAGAACTGAAGTGAGCGGCGTCTGTGTCTGGCAACCCTGACTACGACATAATGCAATTCACGTCGAAATGTCGGAAATAAAGAAACAGGTATGTAGGTACTATTTATCTGCAAATTTTTCATCGCGTTAAATCCCTATTGTGTATTAAAAATATAAGTTGGTGGTTAAAAATCAAATACCGTTTTACTTACATAATTTACGAACAGAAAATTCCTTTTAAGTTATAATTAGATGCAAATATTTTTATTTCAGCTGGCATCTTGATGTTCAGAGGAGCTCTAGGTATTCTTCGGTAAAATTGCGCGACTTTAAAACTTAAAGAAGGAAGACTGGTAGTAGAAAATTTTACAAGCTTTTTATATATTATTGACTTGTTTACAATTGCTTGAAAAATACCTTATATATATAGTTACCACTATACCAATATGATATAGTTAAAATGTTGGGATGGGGCAAAAAGTTATATTTAACCAGCCATCAAGAAATGTGACTTTCATTTATAGTGACCGCTTATTTGTCATTCTAAGTGGCATAAAAAATCAGAATTAGACATCCTTAATAATTATAATATCGTGGGAATTTCACGGGAAGATATATTATTCTAGAGTTACCACTTTCTATTAAATGGATCGCAGTTAGTTGTACAAAAATATTGCTGAATGGTTAGGAGCTGCATAGATAAAAGCAATCGACCAATCATAAATGTTGATTTTACAACACAGACATAGATAAGTAATTCTAATTTCCGTGATATGTATTGCGTAAAAGGTTAATTAATTAAACAATTAATATATTAATTATCTGCTTAAGTTATTGTTATTAAAACCTTTGCACCGAGAAATGTTTATTTAAAATGTAAATACGTTCAAACCTTAATCTACGTTTTGTTAAGCACGTATATCCTATTAATATAAGAAATGCGAAAGTTTATTACGATGGATTGATTGTTATTATTATTTGTTACTCTTTCAAGTATAAACTACTGAACGATTTGAATGAAATTTGATACATGTGTAGGTTATGTTCTAACTTAATATATAGGGTACTTTATGTACAAATTCACTCGGACAGAACCGCAGGATATAGCTAATAGGTGTATAAAGCTATTTTTATCTAAACGTGCTATGGAAAAGTCAAATGATTAAACAAACTGAATTACACTTAACAAGTTTCGAGTAGCGATCCTCTACCGTGAGTTTCTGTAGACGCTTGTTTTTGTTCTTTCACTACAACTAAACTGTGGAATTAATTTCCAGCAGTAGTACTTTCGAACAAATAGGACATTGAAACCTTCAAGAAAAGAGTCCTTTCTAAAAGGCTAGCAATACACCTATGTGTGCATATGGGTGGAGAAAATAATATACCACTAGGTGAGCTGCAAACTCTGTTACTCTCTATGTTATTCATCATCTTCCTACCATTATCCCAATGTTATTATAATATATATATCAAATAATTGAAACAAGCTCAAAATATACTTACCTTAGTGACATTTCTAGAATACCAACTTAATTCTAAGAATAATTAATGATGATAGCTTTTTTTGTTGCGTCGCCTTTCTGAGCACTATAGTGTTATCTTTATACTTTATAATTTCACCATCTTATCTCACTTTTCAAACAGAAACGGTCTCTGTTAATACAAACATATTATTTTTATTCAAAAGAGTAAATTTTTTTATGAGTAGTTTTTTCTCTTAAACTCCTTAATCAGTTCTTTCGAGCGATTTAATCCTGGCTTTTATTTGTTATTTTGAAGCTCTCAAGTTTGAGATAGCTAAGCTTTAGGCTTCAAGGTATATTACAATAAGGTCTTGGTCTTATTTGGGTATCCTTTGAGTATGAATGATATGAATTCTGTAATTTCATCGCATTTTCCATCCTTTACGTTGAAATACAGATTTTCGGGTATCTTTGCTTAGTTAGCAGTTGAAACACAAGTAATAAAGAGGTACTGAAACAGATGATTACTGTACGAATTTTCCTTCTGGTAAAAGACTAAGTCCGGTTACTATTATTTATTGAAAAATGCTCACACTTCGCCGAGCACATTATCCGACGTGATAGAGGGGAGTTTGCCTATTGAAAATAAGATTTTCTTATTTTCCCATTTTATGTACTAGATTTAGTTCAGAGATATGACGTATAACTGAAAATAAGAAGTATTTTATTATATCGCTAGGTTCTTTCAGCTAAAATATTAATTTTTTTGACATATTTCATAATTTTGTGATATCTCTCTTTTACGAATTTCTAAGTATGTTTATTGTTTTGCGACGTCATAGATTAAGGATGATATCATATACGTGATACTTTATATAAATCATGTGTAATATTATAAGAACCGTCTGTCATAGTAATCACTACACACGTAGAATACTTACTATCCTTAATCTATGAATACACGAGTCTATTGTTAGTGGCAGAGTAGATAACTCTTATGCTCCTCATGACAAGTAGCGACTGAATATATCTATATATATGAACGCGTGAGTTTCTGTCGATAGTAGTTACTATTGATTTACGAAGCATAACCGTAATCTTAAAATATTAGAGGATAATAGGCTTATTTGGAATATCTACCTTAAAAGGTTTACAGTAAAATAATAGATATAATGCTTCTTATATAGTTCTGATGAAAACATCTTTAGTTTCCATTTATTAATTAAAAAAATTGAAATACTCTGTAAACAAAACTTTATTATAAACGTGTTACAATAAAGAAGTCATTATTATACATGGTTTTAAAAATTATACCATGAAGAATGAAATATCAAAAAGATGAAATAGTAGATCAAGTTAAAATGGCAACAATCGGCAAGAAAAGAGACTAAACATATTATAGCAATTTACTTGTTTTTCAGATTACTGATTGCCCAAGCTTACTTCTTACAAGCCGTTGTGTACTGTGAAATTTAGTGTAAATCCAAATTATCTTAAATCAGCTTTTAGCAAAATATCAATCTATCTTTTTAACTCATATCAATATTTTAAACATTTATACGAGTATACACCTGGATAACGGGAATTTAATTAAAATACTAAGTGCTCATTTCACCCTGAAGAAGATTTCCGAATAAATTCGAAACACTTGTCGGAAAGGACAAACTTAAATTCTTTAAATACCTCTCGCCGAATTATATTCATCATTTGAAAAAAAAAAGATTGTTAAGAAGGTTTGGAGCGATTGAAAACATTTCTAGTTACAAAATGTTACATCGTTTAAATTGCTTATATATATCTGAGTTACTCCATTCTCCTCTCCCTAAGATGGAATCCAATATATAGCTCGCATTAGCTATAGCATAAGACATATGTATATATAATTGCTTAGCTACTATATAGCCTGCATTTATTTCGCGCAATATAAAGCAATATCTTCCTCAATTTTAATACGATTTTTATGATGCACTTTATTTCTATATTAATTTTATCAAAGTAAACATCGTTCTTTCTCTTAAAATGAAATCTTATACATAATTTATTATTATCTATAATAAACAATAGAGGAAGTTTATATTGCGTAATAAATATTTAGAAATAAAAATCACTCGATTATACATGAAAGTTGACCTAATGACACTGATGTAGATAAAATAATTTAACATCCATAATACGTGTCGTGTAAGCTTAGTTAATTGTTCAATTAATTTATTAGTTATCATTCATTGTTTGTGTCATGATTTCTTGACGTAAGTTCATTATATCGACTATATGCATAATATTATTAATTTTTGTCAATTTTGATAATTCTCTATGCAATCAATAGATATACTGAACTGTTTCATCAATGTCATTACCATATCAGTCTACTATTTTCAACTGTTCACTGCTGACTCCCCCATAACGGGCGACGTGCTAGTAATTGCCACGTTTGGCAAGTAGGTTAGCAACCGCAGCCAGGTGATGTTTTTGTTGTTGAAAAGGGACATTGCTGCCCATTCCACGACAACTAGCCTAAGTGCTCGCTTTTTTTAAAATTAGTTAATTATTAGTTTCTAGTCATACTTGTAAAAAAAAATAATGTTAACTTAATTTTAAAATGAAGTTATTTTTTTTTTATTTTTAAGTAATAATTGTATGAGATAATTAAAAAAAATAAAAATATTATTGTTTAAATATAATTTAATAAGCATGCATTGTACATTGTTCTTGATTGTGGCGGAAATAGTCTAACCTGACATATACGTTACATGATCTTTAAAAAAACTCATATTGTTTTAATTTAAATACTTATTTGAGTAGAAAACCCCTACCAAATAAACTTCTTTAAACTCCAGAATTCATCCATCGCATTGAAGTCATTCGTGGTCTGTTAGTTTTAGATTGACCTTTGAAAAAATCCTGAAAGCGAAATAAAAAATATAGTCAAGAATATTCTTCTTTATGAACTTTCTGAAAAGAAAATGTGTCTGCTAACAAAGAAATTCATAGTGTTTTAAATATTAATACCATTAGATATTTTATAGTGCCATCTAATCTCAAACTAAGCAGAGTTTGGAATACAAATACTAGATAATTCATAAACTACTTATATAAGAATATTTTTTTAAATACATACATACTCGTATTATACATAGAAAATGCTCAGACCAGTACAAGCAAATACACACATGAATAAAAATGTTTGTATTGATCGAGGTCGAACTTGCAATCACTGAAAGGCCGATTGGTGTGTTAACAGTATCCGTAATTTCTGCTTACTGAAGTATGGCAACATTGCAATTATCTGTCAATGTTTCTGACTGATTATTCAAAAAGGGCTCTGCTTACAAACTAAAATATTAATTATAGAATATATTATATATAAATCTACTACTAAAGAGTACACCACATTTTGCTTCGAAATTTTTCAAATACATTTTTGCCCTCAAATCCTAAAAAAATCAGCGAGTGTTTAATAAAAATACTTTACTTGATTAAGGTTTTAGTAGCATCTTAAAACGTTATGTAATCATATTTTAATATTTACGTATTATATATAATAATAATATTTAAGCAGAGAACTAAATTATCAGTCACAATCATAGAAAATTATTATATTGTTTTAAAACTTGACAAATAATTGCGACGTTGTCACACTTCGGTTAAAAAAATATTTTTTATATACTTAAACCACTGGTCCACCAAGGTCGTCTAAAATACATATTTCAAAACAATTCTAAAGTACATCTATCAAAACCAACATAATTGACGGTATTGTTAATTAATCTTTTTCTTGAATAACTATTTACGTATTAGAACCGCCAAGATATTTCATGAAATATTTACTAAACAAGAAGTAACTGACAACTTGAACGAATAAAGGGATCTAACTCATGCCAGAAAACTCATCCTAATTTAATTAAATTTAACAATCTGATCTTGAAACTTAGTTCTATCTACTCATTATTCTTAATGGTATCTTGCTCTGTTTGAAACACCACTTCACTGTAATTTATATGCCTACACTTTACACATTCTTAATTTTACGCAAGCTTATATAATAGGTTAGGTACTGTACATAACAATACAAGAGGAAAATGGGTAACAGTTTGAGGTTAGAATTTTATTTTTCTTACAAGGTACCAACAAAATATTAGCGCTGCGGTACTCCGTGGCTTAATGCTGAGTTGGTTACCCTTTTATGTTGCGGCACATAAAACCACCTACGCATTCATGTGACGTTTGTAAGTTCAAAATTATGTGCTTGTAAAGATGAATAAACTATTTATCAATCTATTTATCTTAGACGTCAAATAGAATAAATATATGTATAATACATTAGTACAAAAGAATTAGTAGTATCAGTATTAGTATAAACAATTGACTGCATCATTGATATAAAAAAGAATACTAAGATGCACAATCGAAGACTAAAATCGGGGTAGATAATACATAGAATATATTTAATTAAAATTATGCATTAAATTATGATATTTTCTTACATAATTTTGTAAAAGAATATTATGAGTCATATGGAAATATAATTGATATTAAATTAAAAAATAATTTCTTTTTAAAATTTTATTGTAATTCATATCAGTTTTTGGTTCATTTCTTTTTTATATTAATGATTTTTTTATTTGTATAAAATATGCATACGAGGGAATTATTAAAAGCGCTCATAACGCTAAAAACTTGACACTCTTATAGATTCCGTGACAAGCCGCAATGAAAATATAGACATTAAATTAAGGTGACCAACTATACTCATTTACTGAGTTTTGTACTCTTTTTTCGTAAACCGTACTCTTTTCCAATCCTGTTATCTGAAAGTACTTATTTATATAATTTTATACTCATTTGTATTTAGAAAACATTTTTTTAGATTATTTTAATTCAATTTTATTAATTAAATATTTAAAATTATTTTGACAGTGATTTGATTTTCATTAGAATTTCAGTAGAACACATCCCACATGAAAATTTAAAGGTATTAATAGAAATTCTATGTCGGTGACTTTGGTTCTTTGCGGATATCTTCATTTCGGATTCTGTCACGCAAAGAAACTTCAAGCATAGCCCTTTTCATAGCTCGCTATGTGATTAGAAGCTTTTGCATACGGACAACTGTATAGGACTATGTTTCAGTTCCAAAGATTATCACTGGCTTACTAGTTAACGACTAGTGTCGTTTTGTAGTCGTCGACTAGTGTTGATTAGTGTAGTCTTTAACTAGTGCGTGTTGCTAGTGATTACCTATAAAACTCGTAGTATTAATATTATTATTTTAGCCGTTAAGTGTTCACTACTGAACATAATTTTTCCCCATAAGGGAATTTTTGCCAGTATTTGCCACGCTTGACAGGCGGGTTGGCAACCGCAGTTAGTCTTACGATATTATAATATGATAAATTATTATATTGGTTTATATAAATAAAATTATTCTTCTTTCATTTTTGTGAGGCTTAAAACGTAGGTCTTAAATTTCACAAAAATAAAAGAATGTATAACATTTATTTATTATAAAAATGCAAAGATAGATCTCTAAATATTTTACGATTATGTACCTATTACAAAACGCTTTATTTTTATGTGCATCCCGTTCTAAAGTTGTACTTACTTTGAATGCTTGTCTGAATTTCCGTGACATCAAACTGTATAGTATTGGATTTATGACCGTTGAGACGTAGCCATTGTAACACAAATAATTCACTATTCTCCAGATCTGCAAATATTGTAGACAATGTTATCAGACGATATAACAAATTTTCGTTAAATTAACAAATTTTGATATATATATATATATATATATATATATATATATATATATATATATATATATATATATATATATATATATATATATATATATATATATATATATATATAATGGTATATTAACATTTCTCTACTAGTTATTTATTTATTTGTAACACGTACAATCTTGATTAGTACAGTTTTATTTATCACCTAAATTCTGGATACATCATACAAAAAGTATCCGTCACAACTACAAATACAAATACAATTCTACCACGAAAACAAATTCCGGATTCTAGAATTATTTGCGCACGAAGAAATAAATTCACATCGAAATCGGGCTCATAAACGGAGAGTGACGCTTTACTCTTCATAAATTCTAGCATAAAATATCCGAACAATCGAAATTGCAGTAGCATTTTTTTTGTTATTTCAATTTCAAGTTCTTATATCGTTCGGCTCAGAGATTTTGGGAAAAGGAATAGTAAGTAGGCAGATGACATCTGTACATACGAACTGCATAAAAAACAAAGTATTCTATAATAGTCATTACTCACTACTATAGCCTGTTACAATAAATAGAACTTAACGTAAAGTTAATCACGTTTTGATATTATAAAAAAAAAACACTTGTACTTTTATACTAAAAGGTTTTATAATAAATATCTTTCTTTTTTTGTAATATTCTTATATACCTTTATAAATTACAATTATAAGAATTTTCGTTTATCAAACTTCGGAAATAAGATAGAAAATGATATTATTTACATATATTATTTATACGGAGTATAATCATACAGTTTTATCGATAGACAGGAGACAAACTAAAAGAGTTACGTTTTCAATTATCTCAATGTAGAAAGCAGATCTACAAATTCTAAAATAATATTAAAATTACACATCAAAACAGCAATACAATATATATATATATATATATATATATATATATATATATATATATATATATATACAATATAAATATACTTGTATACTACTCATACGCCCAAATAACTGCATCAGCTCCAGAGCCTGTGAACTTACTTAAATGAGACTCTAGTGGTCAATAATTTACGAGTATATGTAGAGAGCTCAAGAGAAAGTAAAGAAAAATATGCAAAGTTTGTATTAAATGTGTCAGGCAAAGCGATGAATATTCGGAATCTCGATTTATTTGTCACTACGAGTTCATTACAAATGTCCACATAATATAATTGAAATGTATGTTTTATTATATCTTATATATTATATCTTATATGAATCAATATAATATTATAATAAATATAATAATTATAATAAAATTTTATGTCAAAACCAATGTAATATCTGATTAATTTCTGCTACGCTTGGTAAGCGGATTAGCATCCGTAGTTAGGTTTTAGGGATGTTTTAGGAGGGACGCTGCTGCCCATCCCTCGTCCTCCCTCAGTTGTCACTTACGACACCCACGGGCAAGGAAGGGGTGCCCTATTCTATGGCGGGACCACACGGCTATAGGTAATATTCTAACTTAATGCACAAGATATTTTAATTACCGAATCACACAGGCAGAGCTGCGAAAACAGCTTAGTTTATCATAAAGAGGGGTTGAAATCAGTTTAAAAGAGAAACCAAAATAGTCTTATTTTATGAAGTGGTATTTTCTATTACTTACACAATATACATGTATACTACATCTACATGTATCTACATATATATAATAGTATATGCAGATATATATGAAGGTATTATTCTGTTTAAAGTTATTATTATATCATAATAACTTTTTCAGTCTAAAGGTTAAAATAAAAAAAAATATGCAACTTACATCATAGTAATCTTCATAACTAAACTTGGGATATACCATCATAAACCTCAGTAAACAATATGGCGACCAACAGAAGAAAAAAGACGCGGCTACGGCAGCTGAAAAGGAAAAAACAATTTCATTGGACAAGCTACTGTTTATATAAATTATCATCGGTATTAACATTAATATCATAAAAAGAAATATCATCCCACTACTGGGCACGAGACGCTTAAATAAAGTGGAGCTATTCGTCTGCTATTACCAGGCTGGCCTAAGAGCTTGATGTAGTGTTTTATTTCGAGAGTTTCCTTCTTTTTCACTGAACGTTTTTTATTTAATTTAATTTTATAGTATTTTACCTTATTTGGGTATTTTTATATTTTCATCTTGTTTATCCCAGAATTAATTTTTCAAATTAACTTTAAATAATTATTTGCCTATCTACGAAAAGAGAAGAATTAATTAATGTCACTGATTGGATATATAATATCTTCATTAACTTACTTATCATAAACAAAAAAACTGAACAAAGGAAATTGCATACAGTTTGATTTATAAAATATAATAGTTAATCCAGCAAACGTTATTTCGCTCCCTACTTTTATCTACAGAGTCTATATTTTCTTATCGTAATAAAAACTACCCTATCTCTCTAGTTGAAATAAACATTAACAGAATTTCATTAAAATCGACTGAGCGCCTACGAAGATTAGCGTGAGTGAACATCGTGATACAAGATCTTTATATATTAAGATACCTATATACAATAAGCTTTTAAGGACTGATAGTGAAATCTATAAACAGAGATATATGCTGCATATGTCAACGTACATATGAAAAAAATAAAATAGTACATAATAATATATAATAATAGATATCAAATTTGAATTACTTATCTTCTTATTATAAAACAATTTTTATCTGCAATCTGTGTCTACCTAAATTTTATGTAGGAATCAAAATTAGGTCGTAAATAGGCTCTATTGCATATAGTTTAAAATTACTATAACTAGATATTATTTGTTCATGGGCGAAATTTAACAAAATATCTCTATGTTTGTTTGTACAGACATCATTCAAAAATTACTACACCAAATTGGAAGCGGTTTTCATAGTTGTATTTCTAAAGGTCTAACTTAAAATCTAGTATCATTATGTTTTATCTCGGTACACAATCAAGAAGTAGTCTATGTTTATCTTACGTTTGAAATCCATTCACACAAAGTAGCGGGTAAAAATTTAGTCTAGATAGACTAAATTTATGTAGATACATAATAAAAAAAAAATATTGCCTAACATATCACTGCAAATTAGAATCAAAGTTCTGCTCAGCCTTCTTATAAAGAAATACATAAGTAAGTACCGAGAAAGGAGTTCTGAAACTTCCATGGAAATGGAAATAAGTGCTTCACGCGACTAAAGCTGCGGAAAATCGTTTGTGTCGTGTAATGTTTCGTTTTATAATAAAATCTATGTCAATCAAAAACACTATTTGTCATAGAGATAGGAATAGAATGCCGGAATCACAAAAATTATTCGAATTTCGTTCCTTTTTCATTATTTTCCAACATTTAAGTACATTGAAAATAGATCTGAATGAAAGGTCTACAACTATGCCCAAATTTGTGTCGATAGTTTTTGCATATATTGATAATAGCTATGCTTTTCGATCAGACAGTATTTTTTATTATTAAATCAATTCGTTTTACCACTAAAAAACAAAAAGAATAAATGAATAGTAGTTAGAGACGAGGTTATTTTAAGGATATGAAGGCGTAGATGTTTCCTATTAAAATTGTTTTTAAATCAATGAAAATGGTTGGCAGATACATGACTGTTTTGACGCTATCATTAGCAAATAATTAGATTATATAATATTTACAACTATAAAGATAAATTGTTTTTATTAAGTCTGCGTCAGGCTGCAAACATTTCTATACTATCTATATATCTATTATTTCTATAGTACTGCTATCTAATATCGTAACTATAGAAAGTTTCCAATTAATTAAAATGTTACTTAGTAGGTACTAGATACCTAATACCTGTAATAAAATTATAATTAGATTGTATTTGTTTGCGTATCTTTCAAAAACTATTGAATAGATTTTGATGTAATTTTGTTTAATAAAGTTTAAAATATAAAATATATTTACTATAGTAAAATATTTCAATGCCAAAAAATAAAAGAGCAAACAATTTTGCAAAAATAACTTGTCGATATTAATTTAATTACTATTGATATCATACTATCTGTAATAATCATTAATTAGTTTGATGGTACCTGATATTACTTAATTTATATATACGTATGCTAAAATTTGTTAAAATGATAATTATTCAATAAATGAGAAAAAGAATTATTATACCCACCTAACATTTTTACAGCTTTATCCCTATTCAAATTGCCATTTACTGGACTATTTTTCAGTCTTAAATGAGCTGATTTTAGTTTGATTGCTATCAACACGTACAGCACAAAAAGAAAAGTCATTGGCATCACAAAGAATACAAATAAATCCATAGCCATTAAATATCTTAATAGGCCCGGTAGTGTTACATAACAAAAAATAAACTTTTTCTTTTGCACAAGGTCTATATAAAATATGTCCGGAATGCAAAAAGCGAAAGATACAACCCAGATGATTGCGACGATTTTGTACACGCGTGACTTCACTGACAAAGTTTGACGAAGGAAAGGTTTCGATATCACTAAGTAACGCTCCAAGGAAAAAGCTGAAATTGTGAGTACGCTGCAGTTGTTCAGCCAGTCATAAAGAATAAAGTGGAGACGACATCCTTCTTCGCCCAGCGGGTAGACTTCTGGTATCCATATCAAGTAAATTTCCATGGGAACGAAGAATGCCATAAGCAGATCTGTAATGGCCAGGTTGAACAGGTAACAATTAGTAATGGTTCTCATGGTGCGATCTCGTGCGATGACTGCACATGTGCATACGTTTCCAACGATGCTCAGAACCATGCACACTCCGAGGAACACGCTTAAGACCACCTTTACAGAGAGATTGTTGTCTAAACCATTTTCTTCGGACAACACCATACCCACCGGTCCAAAAAATGAATACGATTTATTTGTGAACGCATCATCAGTTTCCCAAGACATTTCGGAGGCCCGAGAAAATGAAAAATATTTCAGTCTAATTAAACAACACTTTGTCTATATAGATACTATTTTTACACTGTAATATTACTAAAAGTAGATAGAATTATTTAATGAAACATAAGTACTGATAAGTCCTACTTTCATTACTGACACCTATCTGTGTTTATTCGCTACAATTGTATTTCTATTTCTCTAAGTAGTTGTTCTGCTGGCTACCACAGCCGAGTAACTGTTCCATGGAAAATTTCATATAGCACTTCAAATTAGCTTACAGGATGATGCCTTCTTACCCATGGCTATATTTTTTTTTCTAGTTTAATAAAATATATTTTATGTATTGTAGTATTAAAGTCTTCTGAAGTTTAAAATAAGTTTGTTATGCTCAACTTGGTACATTGTGAGTTATAAGTTAGTAACACATGGATACAAAATCTAAAAAAAAAAACTAATATTCCTATATATGTTGTTGCTTTAATATCAATTTTAATATTATCATGTAATAGGTTTTAGATGAAATAGTAAGATTGAAATACATTTATTGGTTATAAACGGCTTTTGAAATCAATATTTATGAATAATATAATAACATTTACCTATATAGAAAACGAATAAAAATCTAGGTGTATTATTATATCTTATCAATAAAATTAGATTCTTTATTATTAATAATCCTGGCTGCAAATAATTAAACTAACGTAATATGAAGACTAATTATAAATAAAGCTATATATGAGTGTAAGTTGACACATTCATTTGTTCATAATAAATATATACGATAAACTTCAGCTATCATAATTTAGACATTATATTAATACAATGTATTTGATTATTTATACCTTATAACAGCAATAAACCGTTCGAGATGTGGGTATTTATCTTGATCTGTTTGCGATATTGAGATATATTTATTAATTTTTTTCTTTCTTTCTCATTTATCTTGATATTATAGGCTGAACATAGTGAACCTTGGGTCAGTGACTTAAGAACTATAATGCAGCTTAAAGTAATCGAACTGGCTAAAGTGATCTTTTATTTTTGTATATCACTTCTATATACTATTAGGCACTTAATTGTAAGCATTTTCAGTAAATTGAGAATAATTCATCTATATTTTTATATATGTATGTTATTCAATATCTTCAGTAATTTAGAACCGATTTTTACAGTTCTTTTTACAATAGATAAGGTTTACTTGTCATGATAAAACCCTTTTTTTCTATATTATTATTATATTAACCGTTAACTATCCTCTGCTCAACATAGGCCTTCCTCATAAGGGAAGTTGCCAGTAGTTGCCACGCTTGGCGTGCTGGAATTACTGGCTTAGAATGTTGCTACCCATCCCTCGACCATTAAGTTCCTTCAGTTGCCTCTTACGACACCCACGGGATAGAAAAGGGTAGCCTATTCTATGCTGGAACTACACAGCGAATATTTTTCTATATACCTACATATAATCTCTTCATTACTACATATATGCGTTTTATTCCTTTATTTATCAAAATACTAGTCAAACTAATTGTTTTTTTTTTTGTCTTTTTTAAATAGTATAAAAAGAAACCGTTGTCGACGTTTATTGTAGTTTTTATAAATCACGCAATAGATTTTGATAATCATTTTACTGTTATTTAGATATTTTTTACGCAAGGTTTGAGTGTCAATAATTAACTACATCCTAATTAAATCTCATTTTCTTTATTAGTAAATTGCACTCACACATAGTCGAGGCAGGTCACTACTTATATTCGTTTATTAAATTGCTATAATTTGTTATTTTAATAGAATTAATCGACCTGTAATAATATTATTATTATGACGACCATAAAATACAGACATATATACATATCTATTACGCCTGTCTCCCATTAGGGTAGGCAGAAACAATGGAACGCCAAATGCTTTGAGTCAAATAAATCTCTTTCGCTTTTTTCACTTCCATCAATATTTTTATTCGCGCTCGCCGGTTACGGGCACTTTTAACAACTATATAATAAAAATATGTATAATATAATCATAAAACATATGTACATCATATAGTCTGCTGATGTCCAATAGTTGTACAAATAAAAAATCTATTATATTTCACTGTTTATTGTATTTTTATGATGGGACTTTATTACATCTCAATCACAATCAACTTCATTATAAATACGCCTGAGGATTAGAAAGGTTGAGGTTTCGAAACCAGTCACGTGTATAATAAAGGCAGTGGAATGAAGTATAAAGTATTATAAATAATACTACATAATCAAAAATTTATCAATTTATTACCGATTTCGTACAGAAGTACAAAAGTCGATTACCTTTGTTCCATTCGTGTTTCAACCGTAAAGCAGTTGTGTTTGCATGGCTGTGTTTCGGTATGGAATATGGCGTGAATTTACTGGAGGAATAACATCTGAGTCTTAAGGAATAGCAACGCATGGGGGGTATCGTGGGTAAAACAGTATACTCTTTTATGTCCATGGTACTGCTCATGTCTATAGGCGATAGTTACCACTTTTTTTCTATCAGGTGGACCGTCAGCTTGTTTGCCATTCTAAGTTGTATAAAAAAAATCTATTGAAATAAACTACTTACTTACAGTTTAGCCTTTGCTTTGCTTATTATTCATCTAAATAATATATTAAATAATACACCCTGAGGATGAATGTAATTGAATACGTATCCACACAAGCGCTGTCAATTTGATGGCAACCATATATCTGTTTGTAGATTGTCATACAGTCGTCCCTAATTGAAATTACTGTGTACTGTATATAACTAGACCTAACAGTTGCAAAAATAGACCTTGAGCTGTTCTTTTATTATTAAAAGATATATATATATATATATATATATATATATATATATATATATATATATATATATATATATATATATATATATATATATATATATATATATATATATATATATATATATATATATATATATATATATATATATATATATATATATATATAATAATAAAATAATTTAACAAAATTTATTTTGGAACAAAATTAAAAACTTTGAAACTTTTTCACTGATACTTAAACACATATTATCTGGTTACTATTAAAAGAAATGTTATACTTACAAATTTGGAAAGTTTCGTCAAACAACTAAGCTCTTTCTTAAAACAGTTTTCGTATTGAAACCTAAATATAACTACATTGTTATTTTCTTTTAGGTTACTCAAAAAGAAATAATAAACGAATAAGCTTACGACTATAATCCTTAAGAGTATAGTCGGTTGTTGATGTTATAGTAAATATAACACTTAACTTGCCGACAATTTGTTGAGCATGTTCTAACATCGACTCTAATCCAACGTATTAGAGCCTACCGCTATCACTCGGTATTACTAAAATAAAAATACCATAATCATATTTAATGCTATATAAGCTCAATGTTAAGTTGTAATAAAATATTGAGAAATGTAATTAGAGACATACAATATTGAAATTTTGTTAAATGAAATTGATTTTATAAATAAAATATCCAATTCCAACTATTAGTAATTATTTTGTCATTTTAATGTTGTTCTTAAGAGCTTTCTCCAGAATCTTCAATACTACCATATCCTTGGTCAGCCCTGTCCAAAATATACTAATTGGCTACTTACTTACTTTTATGTTTGTAACTCTATTGGTCTTTTCAGTCTCATTTTTCATATTCCAAGGATGTAAAATCCATCTCTATATTTCCAGTTTATTTTTTTAGTTAAGTACAATACTTACAAATTATATACGAATGTTCTGACATTACTGGTAGCTCAAATACATACAAACATATTTTTATGGGTTAGGTTTTAAAGTTTTATTAAGACTTTTTTATAATTTTAGGATCTCGAAATTTCTAATTAGAACAAACTTCTTCACAGAAATGAGTGGTTATCATTTAAGGTCAGAAATATCTTAAAATATTTTTTTAATAAGAATTGCTTCGTTATTTATATTTTATATTTAACCTTTAATTAACTTTTAAATTAAAATAAGCATCGCTTGTTTGTTTAAAAGTGGCCGTAGTAGCGTAAAAGTGTGAATTATAATTCAATTAAAATAATTAGAAAAAATAATTGGATAACAACATATTTCCGTTACAATTATCCATTGCTGTTGCTAATGATGGCAATGTGGCAGTCATATTTTAAACAGGAATTTTAATAATATAAGTAATTTGATTAATTAAGGTATTCAGTACGATTACAATCGTCGCTAAACTACTCAATCTTGTTACAGACATTTTCCGTTAAAATACAAAATAGTCCGTGTGGTCCTGGCATAGAACAGAGCACCCCTTCCTTTTCCGTGGGCGACTGAGGTGGAAGCGTGAGAGGTGAAAGCGAGAGATGGACAGCAGCGTTCCTCTAAAAAGGGTGAGAGTTATGTTCAGCAGTGGATTGTGTGTGTGTGTGTGTGTGTGTGTGTGTGTATGTGCGTGTATGTGCGTGTGTGCGTGCGTGCATGCGTGTGTGTGTGTGCGTGTTCGTGCGCGTGTGTGTGTGTGTGTGTGTGTGTGTGTGTGTGTGTGTGTATGTGTGTGTGTGTGTGTGTGTGTGTGTGTGTATAAGTGTGTGTATGTATATGTGTAAGAGTAGTATAATAAAGTAAAGAAAATGTGCGTGATGGACATAGATACATTATGATTTTATCTTATGACTCGTAACAAATATTTTGTACTTTCATAATTTAATATTAGAAGCCATTTAAAGAGCACATGTTTACAGTTATAAAAGATTAGTTGTAATATGTTCATTTTTTTATTAATTTTCTTGTAAATTGTTTATATATATGTCAAATTATAATTTAAGATTATGTCCCACAAAAATAACCAGCTTCATTTCTGACAAAAAATTATATTTATATATATAAATTTTATATTTTTATCTAAAAACTAAACTGGTGAAACTATTTTGAATAAATTTCTATGAGACCAATCTTTAAGTATTTTCCAAATCGGTTTAGAATTGACAGGGTTTTGTAACCAACATAAAAAAAACATAGAACTAAATTGAGAAACTTCTTGTTAAAGTCGGTTGAAAATGTTAAATAAATGTTCATTTTTATTGTTTTGTGAATTGGCAATAAAGATTAAGGATAAAAGATGATTTTAGGATTAGATATAAAGCGATAAAAAGAAATATAAGACAAGGAATGGCAACTCATGATGAATGCTGTGTTATGTTTATGTCTATGGTTATTACTTTCTTTCAGGTGAACCGAGCAGAGTCGAGTAAGTATGTGTTTAGTTGCAATATATTTTGTATTCAAAAAGTATTTTGATTACTCACATATGATATATTACTTGATATATGTAAAAGATAGGTAACTAAAAAATAGAGAGAAGATAAATAAAAATTGCAATTGATTGTGTGCAAAAATTTTTTCCCAACTAATTTAAAAAGAGTTTACTTCAAATGTGGTAGGTGCTTTGAAAAGATTTACTATGCTAGGAAGTTTATTATAATTATATGGTAAGTAGTATAACTTTTTCGTCACATACATGTATTTCTTTTTTCTGTTCGCAACATGTATGTCCAGGAGGGAAAGAGATTGTTAATAATGAGATTTAACAACACCATTGTTGTTAGCAATTATTGCTAATATACCCTATCAGGTCGATCTCCACACGGACCTCCACCTGGAAACTATAGTGCTTAATTTTTGTTTAATTGATCACTATGGGCTAACTGACCTGTTTTCATTCTCACCTATCACCCTTCACTGGTACCCTGCCTGCACATACCGATAGCGCAGGCAGGGTTACCATTTTATCTTCATCCATAAAAAAAAACATGTATGTCAAAAAAAATAGCATGCTTACTAAACTTATGTTTTATATGCAAAAGTTTTCAGCACAATAATGTCTATATAAACTGACCTTGATGTTAAATATTCAGAAGCTGCTATATAAATAAAACTTATGTACTTTACATTATCGACCTGTATTACCAGGTATTCGTATTACTTTGTTGTCAAACAATATCAATCAACTAATGTATCCACCTGCGTTAAACTATATACTGTACTAGAATTATATTATCTGTGACTATAATTGAATATCTTTATACTATTTTTTTATTTTTTATTGACCTCATTTGAAAAAAATATACGATTCAGGGTTATTCAGAGTGATAAGTAATATTATGTATAAGTGTGTCAGTATCTATTTTTTCTTTTAACACCCTAATTTTTTTTATATCTTAATATCAAAAATTAACTATCCACTGAGAAACAGGCTCGGCCTAGTTCGGTGGCCAGTAGATCAAACTAAATGTATGTTATTTATTATTCATAATAAATAACATACATTTAGTTCAATCATTCATAATAAAGACAGTTATTATTATACTATTATTATCATTTTTTTTGGTCCTGTGGTCCCGGCACAGAACAGGCCACCCCTTCCTTTCCCGTTGGTGTCGAACAGGTAACTAAGGGAACTTAATAGTCGAGAGCAGTGTTCCTCTTATAAGATTACTAAAGTCTAACTGCGATTACTAACCCGCCTGCCAAGCTTGGTAACTACTGCCAAAATCCAACCAAGGGGGAGACCCATGTTCAGCAGTGGATAGTATTATCATCGTTATCATCATCCAAATGTTAACACTAATCATCGTTAAATTTTGATATACGCTTAATTTGTGGGATTGAATTGCTTGGGCTTTTTTAATATTGGTTAATCAAAATATCGCAATCGTGTGAATAAAGTTACAGGCACATCTGGTAAATAAATATAATTTTATAAAGTTGTACGAGGAATGGGAGCATAGTTTACTATGATGACTATGAGTGTTAAAGATAGATGTGACATAATGCATTACAATGATGTGAAAACGAGCTATTATAAAAAAAAAAAAGTGAATGGAATACTCTATTTTCAACCGATTACAAAAAAAGCAAGAGGTTGAATTTTTATCGTTTATTAACATAGAACTCACATATTGTGGTAGAACTACCCTGTAAAACTATATGGTATTTATTGCAGCATGAATGGGCCGGCTCGACCGGGGAAGTACTACACCCTCATAGAATACCGATGCTAAGTGGACACAATTTTAGAGCACCACATTCCGTATGGTGAGTGAGGAAGTCTGGAGGCTCATTTTATACCCATCCCTTTTCTTATCCTAAAATCGTTCCCCCAACCCCATCCCCACCCATATTTCAATACGACCATGGCAGTGGAATTTAGAAAAAACAACGTACCCCAGGGAGGTACCAGTAACCATGTTGCTGGAGAATACTCTTTCGAGCAACCACGCTCGGGCTGCCCTGCAATAACCATCTCCGCATCTATGCATGCCTATACAAATCCTACAGCGGTAACACTAAAACCGATCAACTCATTGAGCACGCCCAAATGGCTACAGGTTCATTGCTCGAATTATTGATGATCAGCGCCTTACTGTCCGATTTAATCCACTGAAACTGCGTAGAGATGTTGCATCTCTGTGCATCTTTTACCAAATTTATCATGGAGAGTGTTCGAATTGATACCTGCTGCTGATTTTCACCACCGTACAACCCGACATAAAGTTTCATCCCAACTACCTGGAGAAGTGGCGGTCTTCCACCGTGCGTTTTTCAAGGCACTTTCTTCCACACACAACCACTTTTTGGAATCAACTTCCAGCAGCAATATTTCCGAACCGATACGATATCATAACTTTCAAGAAAAGAGCTTATTCCTTTTAAAAGGCCGGCAACACACCTGCAATGCCGTTGGTGTTGTGGGTGATCATGGGCGGTGGTAGTCACTTACCATCAGGTGAGGCGCATGCTTGTTTGCCCTTTGTGTTTTGTTCAGAAAGGGATATATTCATATAGAGATATGAATTACGTATTCACTAAAAAAGAGATTCTTGAAATACACACAAGAAGAATAATTGCCACAGTATTCACAACTTCCAGTAATATAATCAGAGTATGTTTACAAGTATTTTAAGTAAATCTACACTGCCTGGAATTCGTTAGACTTTTTTTAATGGGCACATTGCATGAAGTGGGAAAATAAGGAAAATATTTTACTGAACTAGGTGTTATCTTGCAGGAGTCCATATCACTAGTTATTCGATTAGAACTGTTTTGTGAAGTTGTGCCATCATTAGTATGTGTGTGACTGCCAACACTCGAAGATCGACCACCGCTATTACTACCAGAAGTTCCACAATCCGCCTGCCAAGCGTGGCAGCTACTAGCAAATATTCACCAAGGGAAAGACATATGTTCAGCAGTAGACAAATAAAGGCTGATATAATGATGATGAAGGAAAATGGTTCAATTTGTTTCAATAAAACTGTAATGAATGTAAATGTACGAAATGAATAATTGACCCGGACATAAAAAATGTACTGAAATACAATAGTAGTAGGTCCAAATAAAAAAATAAGATTCAATTTGTTACTAATTTTATTTAGAATGTGATTCTGTTATAATTTTAATAAAACTTAGTTACCATCACATTAAATTTTATTGAAACAAATTGTAGATATTTCAATCTATGAGAAATAGGTTGGTACTTATTCTAATAATTTTTGGTAAATTGCTTAATATGGACAAATATTTCAAGTTTGTAATCATTCTTATACAATTATATATAATATAATTCTAATATAGGAACATTCGCCACAACTATAACGAACCACAAATACCACTGGCTATCCCACAATGAATAACAGTAGTAATCATCTATTTATTTAATTTTAAATATTATATTAAAAACTATTTTACATAAATAACAATGAACAATTTTATAAATATTACAAATTAATAACAATTAATAAAATCCATAGGTCGCTAATAAAATATATTAATGTAATTTTAGATCAGAAATCATAATGAAACTAGTGAAAAAAAAAAAACAATTCTATTTCATTGTTTAATTAATGTTAAATTACTTTATTATCGCGCTGACTGTATAAACAATATTATGCCAATAACGTTATTAACCTTTACACATGGCTACGTTTGCCTTTGTATAGTTTGTTTTATAATTCTGATATCATTATGCCCTGTGATAAAAAATATACATGTATTCATTAATTAATAATTAATAAATAATCTCAAATTATTTAAGAACATTGTTCATTCAAATGTTTGATAAGTAGATAACAGAATAGGTATTACATTGTTAGTAACCCAGAATGTCAAAAAGTCAATTATTTTTAAACCACTACAGATATAATAATGTTTCTTCAGAGTTGGCAACAAGCACGTGGTACTTCTAATGTTGCAGGCGCCCATAGCCAAGTGACTATTTGACGGGTTGTATGCTTGTTTGCCACCTTTGTGGTATAAAAAAAAATAAGTTGGAATTTTTTTATGATAAGATTAGCTGAATAACTAAAATAGACCCAAAGTAGTACCTATTGTGATTGTAAAAAAAAAACCACCTATAAATTACTTCTGCTCGATGGTTTTTTCTAAATTGTAGATACTATACTATTACAATCTCTGCTTAAAATAAATTTTATTCAGTCTTTGCAGGGTTGATAATGAGCGTTTCTTTTTTATCATCACATGATAATTCTTTATCGCCCCATCCCCATACCGCATGAGATCCGTCGCCTGTTCTCAGCACACGTTTTTGTACAACATCCAAAGGTATTTCTTTCAGATCGTATGCCCACCCTATCTTCGCCATAAAGTCAATGAACAACTTAGTGAAGTTCAACCTGTTACCTAATTCACCCGTTTTGTAATCCCAAGGGAATGTGTGATGGTAGTTATGGTACCCTTCGCCAAGGACAAGAAAAGACACAGGCGACGTTTCAACTGGATTTATGTTTTTGTCATATGGTTTGCTACCCCACTTGTGAGCAGCTGAGTTGACGAGCCACGTCACATTTAGAGTATATATGTATCTGAAAACGGCACATACGAAGAACGCGTTCCAAACAGATTCACCCCACAGTGTTGGAATGTATGTAGGTAGAATGAAGCAGGCAAACGGCATGAGGAATTTGTAGTATCTGAAATATACAAATATAAGAAATTATATTGCTTTTATATTGTATTATGGTTTTTAAAAATTGTTAATTGACTACTTAATTAAGCAAAGGAATGTAACATTTTTCGGATCTATGCTTGAACCTTTGATGTGATATAAATTAAACAACTCGAGTGATTTTGATAAATGTTGTCATTAGATTTATCATAATCGTGAAAGTGCTTTTAGTTTATGTCAAATTCAGTGAAAAAATATTATAAATTTTGTAAAAAAAATAACAGTAGAGATTTCTCTGACTTTAAAACATCTTATTATACACTTATTAGATGTGTAAATACCGAATAGTAGGGATAAACTCAAGCGTTTGGATAAAAATTGACATTAAGATAAAAAAGAATGATTTCTTTTTTATCATAGCATACGATTTACTAAGGAATACATACATACATACATATCTGTCACGCCTGTCTCCCATTAGGGTAGGCAAAAACAATGGAACGCCAAATGCTTCGATTCAAACAAACCTCTTTTGCTTCTTCCACATTCATCAATCTTTTCATACACGCTCGCCGGTTACGGGTACTTTTAATTTGGCCCTTCTTTAGCACGTTGCCTATTTGGTCGACATACGTCCATCTAGGGCGGCCCCTACCGACCACTCCATTCATTCTTGCTTGATGAATCTCTTTCGTAATTCTTCTTTCATCCATCCTCTCCAAATGACCAAACCAATGAAATTTTTAGTAATTCTGTAAATGGGTAAATTATATTTTTATTCGTTCCTCTTAGCACCGTAATAGCGTTACTTACGCATTCATCAATAAATTTGATACCTATATATAAAATATTAGGGAAAGGGTTTAGCGAGGGATGAGTAGCATCGTCCTTTTTAAAACATCTCCAAAGCTTAATTGCGGTTGTCAATCTGCCTGCTAAGCATGGCAACTACTGGCAAAAGCCCCAAGGGAGAGGCTTATGTTCAGCAGTGAACAGTTAAAAGCTAATATGATGATCTAAAATATTTGGAATAGAAAAGTACTTAGACTACATTTTATTCTGTTCAATCAACATATCCTGAACAGGACAATTATGAGTAAAGATTACTAATAATATAAAATTGTAATATATAATTACATGCAATACACAATTTATAAATAATTAATGATTGTGTCCCACAAAAAATAACCGATTTCAAATGTTACTAAACCAGTTATTTTTATTTAAAAGCTAAACTACTAAATTGATTTTGATAAAAAATTTATGGTACTAATCTGTAAGTATATCCTTTTAGATAAAAAAGTGGTTTAGAACTGACAGTATTTGAGGTAATAAATATAAAAAAAATAAAACCGATTTGAGAACCTCCTTTTTTTAAAGTCTGTTGAAAAATAATATTTACTAAGTGACAAAATAATAATCCATCTATATAAATAAATTATTTTGAGTACCGTGATTCTACCAGCTGTATCCTGTGGCTTATTTTAGGACACAAAGTAGAAGTAATTAAGATGATAGGTTTATATAAGGTACTAGCGACCCGCGTCGGCTTCGCACGGGTGCCATGTAGAAACAATGTGGTGTCAGTGAGGAGTGATTAATTACTATTGTATCCATGTAAAGAGCTCGTCAAGCTCCAAATAATTGTATAATATTTTTTAAAACATTAAAATGGTTATAGAAAGCTATCTGTATAATATAGAAAGCCATCGTTGATTTTTTTGTAGTACTAATAAAGAGGAACAATTTCATCATACATTATTTTGTGCTATTTCAGCATTTTCGATTTTTCGAAGGCTCGCAGTCGATTTTTTCTTTCGACATCTTGAACTTATCATTTTTCAACAAATTAAAACAAAACAATAATAACTATGCGTATAAATAAACCTTCCTCTTAAATTACGTTATCTATTGATGACAATTGCATTAAAATCCGATACATAGTTTAAAAGATCTAAGAGAACAGACGGAGGGAAGCGACTTTATACATTTACTATGTAGTGATATATATATGTATAAAACATACTTTTTTTGAAACTTAAGAACAGGATCTCTCCATAAGTCATCCATCTCGATAATACGCCCCTTTTCTTTAATTTGTGGATGTTTTCGGACCAGCAACCAACCAATGTGGGAAAAGAAGAAGCCACGAGTTGCATTGTGGGGATCAGCGTCGGTTTCTGAGAACTTATGGTGAACTCGGTGATCACGCGCCCAATCCAATACGGAATCCTGTAATTTATTTATTGATAAAGCATATGAGTAGTGTGAAATAACATATAATATAAATAAAATAACACAAATATAATATAATAAAAAATTTCCAAATGATATAACATATAAAAGTCATGTTTTAAGGGGTAAATGAAGTAGTAATTCCACCTGCGCTATTAATATATGCTGGCGTGGTATCGACGGTCCGAAAACATTTCTTCCCAATTAGTTGAAGGTTCCGAGAACTTACCTATACATTGCCATTATCATTTAATTTACTTATCTTTAATATAAAATATAAAATATCCAAGTTGTTTTATTAAATTATATATATATATATATATATATAATTTAATAAAACAACTTGGATGAATAAAGTCATTAGCTTGATAAAAAATTTAATCTACCTTTAGAAGACCTTAAGTGCATAGAGAACAGTGCAGTAGTGTCACGTCATTAATCAACGATCAAAGGCAACGCGTAAGGTCCATGCTGCTGTTATTAAGCATATGTTGCATAGAATCATTTCCCGTTTTATTAATACGAGTGTAAGGACATTGTCGATTCTTAAATAACGATTATTTGCACTGTGGGTTGACATAGAATCCAGTTAAGTTAAATTAAATATATATATATATATATATATATATATATATATATATATATTATTCTGGCGTATCAATACTATTGGTTTAAAAAAAACATGCTAATAATCGATATTTGAAAGAGTCGATTTATGGCATGTTTTTTTAATGAAGCAATATCCAAGGAAATGGAAGAAATAATATGTGTAATACCGTGTGTCTGTGTAATATAATATAACTAAAATTTGCAAATGTCACATATATTTTTTAAAAATGAATATTTTGAATAGAGATATATAGGAAAAATATGACATTCTGTGGAAATGCTGTGTGATACGCGACTACTTGTACATATCATTTCTCCTAAAGGCGATAAGCTCCGAGTTAATTGTTTTCTGATGATATGAAATATTATTATGTTGAGTTTATGTTATTTATTTATGTTACTGTAATAGTCATGTAAAGTATTTCTCTACACTTGGTCACATCATGTTTCCATGTTACAGTAAAATTGACGATGACCGATATGTAGGGAAAATACTTAGGCAAATATCACAGCGTAAGAAGTGAATTTTTAAAACTATATTAATATTGTAAAACGATAAATTTCTTATAATACTTGATGGAGATATTACTGATACAATGTATTATCGCTGAGCCCAGCAAGATAGCAAATTATTTTATTATTGAGCTTAATTTATAACACTAAAAAAACTAGTATTAGTTTTTACCCATGACAGCGTGATTAGATATGTTTATTGTAGCCTAAATGATGTGTAACCTGATAAAAAGTAGCCTAGATCCTTCTCCATTCCATATAGTAAGTGTATACCAATTTGATAGTGATTACTGTTTCCTATTAAAGCAAACAAACTCACTTTCACATTTATAATATTATTTATAATATTATAATATATGCATACATTATCACTATAATTTTATTCCTCATCGGGGTAAGGTTAATTTTTCTATTAAATAAGTGGTTAAGAAATAAAAAATATTTCAAACAAACCTGGAATGCTATAGTGTTGGCAATAGTAAGTATGATGCGCAAAGGTAAACGCGCTTTATATGACTTGTGTGCCCATAATCTATGGGCTCCAGCGGTTATTCCCAAGCCGGAATAAACGATCATGAAAGCAGCTGCAAAGAGAAAATTAAACATAATTATTCCCAATTTTTGATTAAGTAATTTTTTTTATTTCATTTGTTATTATGTTAAATATCCCCCACCGTTAAAAAAAAAAGACATTTAATTTTAATAACTATACAATAATAATTTTGACCCAAATGTCATTCAAATCCATTCAACTATTTAATCGTGTACATAATTGAGCAACAAACATTAAAATTCCTTTACATTTATGTTTATAACTTTATCATTCTCTCACCATTTCCAAATTTAATTACTACTGATTTTCCTGGTAATTATTGCCCTTTAATGCACTTAATTGTTGTTCTTTTATCTTAAAAATTAGCAATACATCTTATATTAACAAATACCACCACTAGTTTTACAATATAAAACAGGCTTTGTTCCTACTTAATGATAAACATTAATCCTGAAGCCCAGCTTAAGCCAAATTTAATTAATTTAATAGTCATTTTCATATTGCTCTTTTATATTACGCATTATTTAAACTGTCATTAGTGTCTTATAATGGATTGGTACATAACAAGTCCAACTAGCTTATACCCGCAATTTCGTAAGTGTATTTTTTTCTTAAAAATCTTCTGTATACAGATATAATCATTAACTATTTTATTATATTATTTTCATTCATTAATTAATTCATATTAATAACATAACTACTAGATAGGATTAAAAGTATTAGTCTATTACTCACTAAATATCACTGTCGAAAACTTGATTTGCCCACACAACAGATAGGCACCGTAGACGGCGCCGGTGTGTAATAGTAAAAATATGATAACATTTCTCCATACTATATCCCATTTTCTCTTATCCGCTGATAGAGGAACTAATTCTTTTATGATATTATCGTTAACTTCGTTCTCAAATAGCACCGAGGATCCATTTCCTTGATTTTGTAGCATTTTGCTGTAACAATTACAAAAATATTAATCATTTGTAAAATTAATTAAATAAATCTGTATTCTAATTGCTATTATACTAGTATGATTAAATTTAATGTTAAATATGAAATTAATATATTATTATTATATTAGCCATTAACTGTCCACTGCTGAATATAGGTCTTCCCCATAAGGTGAGTTTTGCAAGTAGTTGCCATGCTTGGTAGGCGGATTGGCAACCGCAGTCAGACTTTAGTGGTGTTTTAAGAGGAACGCTGCTACCCATAAAGTTCCTTTAGTTTTCTCATGATACTCATGAGAAAGGAAGAGGCTCACATGCTATTATTATTAAAGTATAATATATATTTCATTAATGTCGTAAACAAGTTAAACAATAGGTTATAAATAGGTACATAATGCGATACAATTGTTAATTATTTTACGTAATTTAATATCATGTGGTTGATTATTGTGAATGGAGTAAATTGCAAGTTGTGCAATTTAAATTGACCAATCTGCAAGTGACAAGGTTGATCAACATGTAAATACGTTAGGTTATTATTATTTTATGTAAATTAAAAGAGCGGAACTTTTGTTCTTTCTTCTAGACATTTTCTCAGTTTTCTTTATCGCTAAAATAAGCATCCAAAAACTTTTATTTTTTTAATTGCAACTTTGAGTCTATTTAAACTCCAGTAATAAGGTTTTATATTAATTTTTACACTACATTGTTGTTTTATATTAGAAATATACACTAATTTTTAAGTTAACTAATTTAAGAAGATTTAAAAAATTTATTGATGAGGCTGTATTAAAATATTTTGAAATATGCCTAAATTAAATCACTTCTACAAAAACTATTGTTATGATAATTATCTGATCGGTTTCTGCGTTTAAGGCATTTTCAATTGATTGAACGGAGATTCTTTACTTTTTTTTTGTGTAATCATTCGAAGAGTGTCTAAAGTGTAAAATTTTTTTAGTAATATCAATATGTATACAAAGTTCCACTACGTGCCGATAATTACTAGTTAGTTTCGTTTTTTAACTAATTTAGTACTAAGTTTAAATAAATAGTTTGTAGCAACTTACTTATTATTTTAAAGTATTTTTCAAAGCTTTGTTTAGCTTTGCCATCAAATTGAATTAGTGTATTATCTTTTTTTTTACTTAATATGTTTATTTCGGTATTTTTCATTATTTTAGTAATATTAGTATATATCAGTATTTTTGTAAGAAAAATAAATTCAGTAATAATAAACGTCAATTTATAATTCCGTAATTCCGTATTCGGCGAAAGTTTGTTTCGTCACAAAAAAAAAATTGTGTAATTTATCGTCATAAAAATTGTTCTATTGCTCAAAATGAAGCAAATAATACGTATTTATAAAATTTCATTAATATCGGTTTCATAAAGATTTATGTCAGCTTTACTCAAGTTTCAATTCGGTGACATAAATAATTACAATACGTACAATACGACTCGTGACAGTTTCAACAATATCGGTTTCAATAAAGAACGGTATCATAAATTAGCTTGAACAAACTTAACGACAAGAAATTTTTATATACTATTATAACAATCCATGCTCGTCTTACTACTAGGCATAGGTTGCTTCACGTATAAAGAGAATAATAGACTATTATTACTACGCTAGTCGGACGGATACATTTTTTTTCGTTTTTATTTTATAATTTATTCATTTAAAGTTTCTTTCTCTCGATACTCATTTGGTTATACTAATTGACTTCTATTGGAAGCTTCAAATATTATAATTGTCTCGTATATCTATTAAAAATTGTTATTGATACTTTTTAAATTAAATAAAACTTCTATATATAAAATTATCTGGAACTATCTTACAACAGCCATAGAAATTATAATAAAAACCGGTAACTCATTTAAATTTTATCATTTTCAGCTAAAACTATTAATTTGATCGTCTTTAAATTTGGCAAAATAACAAAAAGATACTAAGAAATTCAAGTGTAAAAATAACATGATTAAGGTTTAAAGTATGGTTTTTCAATCAAAAAAGAATGTAAGATGGCGTAATAAAAAACAGTGCAACTGTTTAATTTTGCAAGTTTTTGACAACAGGCAAGTATAAAATATGTGATTTAGCGCTTACATAATGGTTATTACCTATAAAAACTGTGTTTCATTTTTGCTTGCATATTTTTTAATAATAAAGTCGAAGTATAATAACATTTAATTTTAAATCAGAAAACTTTAAATCCTCTAAATTAAGCAGTTTAAAGTTTTTTGATTGCAATACAGACCATAAATTTAAGATATGTTTATACATAGCTGAACATAAAAATATAAATAATTATATATTATTGTGCCATTGGAAAATTGTAAAGCGGTTAGAATTTAAACCCGCACTTTTTACTCTAAGTCGGAGCTAGTACTCAAAAGACGTTAAGTTAAAGATGGCTATATATTTATCTAGACATCTATGATTACTCTAAGTTCATTAGATAGAAAGGTCTTTAATTGGTAACTTAATGGCTCTGAATTTATTGACAGAGTATTATAAGATTAATAAATAATCTGTCTGTTATATGTCAGTTATATCAAGATGATGTATCCTAATATGAAACCTTTTCTGAAGCAAATTGACATCTCATTTAATGGAAAGTTGTAACCGTCTATAGATATGTACAATACAACATATATCACAGAGTACTAGAAAACAATGTCAAAATTAGGTATGTAACATTGAAAATAATAAAAAAAAAAATCATACAAGATATTTTTAACCAATATTGGTGTTAATTTTTTTATTATGGCTCGTTTTTGGTTAAAAAAAAAAACTGGTGAAAAACTTGACTCATCCAAAATCGCTACATTTTATATGTTGCGTAAAAATAAATTTAATTATTATTTTTTATATGCGGCTCACATATTGAGTGATATATTATTGTGCCATTGGCCATCGCCACACATATATTTAATAGTGGACAGTTAATGGCTGATATGATGACGATGATGAACTTAATTATTTGTAACGACACCTATGATAATTAGATAATTAAATATTTCGTCAGCTAATCAAATTTACACATATATTTAGTATAATGGAAGAAAATATACAAAAAGTTATAATATTATTGAAAATTACTTATTAAACTCAGAAAAGCCAAGTTAAAATGAATTAACGTTTTTAACAGATAAAATATAAGTACCAAGATTACAACTAAATAAGTCAAAGTAAAATAATGATTGTTATGCATTTTTTAGGTTCTGACTAAAAACTATTTTTGAAATAATTAGTTTTACTCATTTTAATTAATAAAATGGGTATGAATTTTTGGTTTATATTGATATGTGTAGTAAAAATTATTATCCAAATTTTATTTATAGTTTGTTATTATAGCTGTGAAATGGATGTAGAGGTTAAAATTTCATACACAGATTCTAAATATGTTTATATGTCCCACACACAACATTACCAGAGGGAAACTTTGTACAAAAGTCGATTGCTTGGGTACCTCTATCCCATTCGTGTTTCAACCGTAAAGCACTTGTGTTTGCATAGCTGTGTTTCGGTTTGAAGGGTGGGATATGGCGTGAATTTACTGGGTACGGAGGAATAACACCTGAGTCCTCAGGAATGGCAACGCATGGGGGGTATCATGGGCGAAACAGTATACTCTGTTATGTCCATGGTACTGCTCATGTCTATAGGCGACGGTTACTACTTTCCATCAGGTGGGCCGTCAGCTTGTTTGCCATTCTAAGTTGTATAAAAAAATATAATTTGTGAGGAAGTATTAAATCTGTAAAATGCTACTTAATATTCTATATAGAATTACACACGTACTATTTTCAAAATAGAAGAAGATTCTCAATTTGGCTGTATTTTTTTTTTATGTTTGTTAATTCTATCAATTTATAAACCGACATTGGAAAATTCTTTTCTATCTGAACGAATATACTTTTGGATTATTTTGTTATTATTTTTGAAGGGTATCTCAACTGATTATAATCTCACCTGATAGAAAGCGATGATGTGGTCTAAGATGGAGCGGGCACATGAATATACGAGCTCCATAAAAGTTTTATCAAAATCTATTTAATAGTTTATTTTTTAAGCAAAATAATAATTTTTGCCATTACAGAAGTCAATTTTTTTTTAGTGGAACACAATCTTAAATTATTTTTAATACCTTTAAAATATAAAAAAAGAATGTACCGTAGTCTGTAGCTAATGAAGTCTCAATTCAGGTCGCAAGTTTTAATCACTACTATTTAATTTTAATTCAGCAGCAATACTTGTGTTTAGCTGGACCGTGAGAAATGCTACTATGGTCATGAACGACACCGGCGTGTATGACCATGTCAAGTGGCGTGATCTTTGAATGATGCACTTTATAACCCGTCAGTTATCAGTGGATGATACTTAGATTAAAATTAATGTGTAAGTTTATAAATAATAAAGGTCAGTTTCTCTATTAAATAAAAAATATTGTTTTAGTTGATTCTGAGATGTTTGTTTATTCATAAATTGCATATATGTATATACACGTGTTCGTAAATATGATCCTATAACTTTCACTAGGGTACGCCAAAATAACAATTCATTCCAGTCAAACGAGTAAAATGAAATATTTAAAATTATAATGATAACTTCAAATAAATATTATAGTAGGGAAGTAAACTGAAATAACTTGAAAAATATTTTTTAGAACTTTGGAAAAACATGTGAACCCCGTTTTGATATTTTGCTTTGATAAAGAAGAGTAGATATCTCGAGTACGGGTAATATTGAATAAATAATTAAAAATGATCACATTGTTCCATGGTCACTACCTTAATAGGATTTTTTTTTTTAATGGAAAGCTATTTATTATATTAACAAATTTTTTTATAAATACAATAAAAATAAAAAAAAATATAAGACTGTGTGTATAAAATAATTCATTATTTTTATGTTTCATTAAACAATAAAACACAAGATGGTTAATTTTATTTATATCAAAAACCATGTATATTTTTATGTTCTAAGTATATATGTTTAAATTTCAACATTTTAAAACTTAAAAGTCACCTTAAATTACTCAAAACTGACGTAAAATTAAGTATAAATATTCAATAATTCAATTTTATGCTTCAGTTTTAGATTAAAATAAAAAAGAAAGACAAAAGTGGTATTCATAATTTTTACACTATATATCAGCTTGTCAGAAAGGATCTACTTTCTTCCCCAATATAGCCAAAAAGTTCATTTTTTATTTCATAACAGCGAAAATTAAAATTATATAGAATATCATTATTAAACCGTTAGCTGTATTTTGCTGTGGAAAATATTATGCTTCAATTCAATTAGAAATTACAAACATGAGAAAAAATTTTTAGTAATATTTTATATCGATATTTACTTTTGATATTTTAAAATTAATGTTTCTATAATAAATTCTGTAAATTAATTACAACACAGAATCCCATATAAATATAGAGTTATTTTTTAATAAATAACAAATCTTACCAAAAAATGTACTATATAGATGTCCTCAAATTTATGTGTACAATCCGTTTCATTGACACTATAATAAAAAAATTTTCCACGTGTGTTCAACTTTAAGAATTACGCACAACTAGGTAATCGAACATTTGTACAAGACAATATATATGCTTTTGAATTATTGTTGTAGGTATAATGCATAAAGTGAACACAAAAATATGCGATGGACTAGTTATATCGAAGTTAGGGTTCCGTATCAAAAAATTACAAAGCTTCGTCCGTCCATCTATCTGCCTCAGCACTTTATCTCTGCAATTGCTAATGCTATAATTTTTTTTTATATTGTTGGCTAAATACGTGTGATATTGCAGTAGAAATAATTGAAAAATATTTTTATTTTCTCTGCTGTAAAAGCTAAAAATAATACTCAAAATTTAACAAATAGTTTAATAGTGGAATATAATATGAAAGGGCTTCATTTATATATTTAATATATATATTTTATAACTGATTTTTATTTATTTTTATGCTGCGTAATTTACAACTTATGACAAAAGATAATAATGTGACAAAAAATATCATTCCCCACCAAAATAATTACAGTGTACAAAGGTGCTAGTTTTTGAGAATTCAAAAGAAAAAATCTCCGAAAACAAACTTAATGCGGTCGAATGAACAGAAATCTTGACGAGAGAGTTCAACTCACATATGACTATTTTCTAGGGTTTCGTACCATAAAGGTTTAATGGAACACTTATGGTTTGACTTTATCCATCCGTACGTCTGTCTGAACAGACTGTCTGTCTGACTGACTGACTGTCGTCCGTCTGTTATAAAATCTCAACAACTACTAATACTATATATTGCAATAGAAATAATGGATTTTTTTTATTAAGAAATCCAAAAGGACCCCTCAAAATTTCAAAATGAAGCTAATATTTCAAATAAGCTATCATATAAAAGGGGTTTCATTACGTAATTTATTATTAATTATTACTACGTAATTTGTGAAGAGAATAATCTTAAATAATTGCAATTTATAAAGGTATATATGAATATTACAAAAAAATAAAGCGATAATTCTAACTAGCAGCGTTTTTGAGTAATTATTAAAAACAAAATTATCAAAAAGAGTTTAAATAAAATTATGGCTGAAAATAAGAAATTACTAAATGAAGTACAAATAATAATAAAAATATGTATGTCTATCTTGTATAAAAAAAGTGATAAAGATAATTTTATTACTTGACTATTTATGTACGAAACCTTCGGAGTGTGAGTTCGCCTCGTACTTGACTGGTTTTTTTTATATATTTTAGCCACATATCATATCAAAAGACAACTTTACGTAGTACTTAACTACTATTCTGTCACTACTATAAACATGTACAAATATAATTACATTTTTGTTTGTACGTGTTAACTCACGTCCAAAATTTTTATTAGAGATATACTACATAAATGAATTACTATTATAAGTGGAAATATATTAAGGCGCCATATGGTCCCAAACTAAGCAGAAATTATATTATGTACTATGTAGCTATTACTAAAGGAGCTATTAATAAAAATATATTACACCTTATACTTATTACCTGACTCTTATACAATGATACCCTGTATTATGATAAAGTACTTATATCCTATCGCGTCGCTCATTCATATTTCAATTAAAAGTTTTCTGTGAGATAATAATTATATTAATATTATAATTATGAAAGTTTGTAACGAGGTATGAATGAATGTATAGATGGATGTTTGTTACACTTTTACACAAAATTTCTTGAACGATTTCAACTGAACTTTGATACACGGGTAGGTTATATTCTAACTTGGTACAGAGGACACTTTATATACAACATTACGCATATCAACCCGCGAGATACAGCAAGATTAACTCAATATTATCTTGATTTATTTGAATACAATTAGGTATACGAACATAATAGTATTCAAATCCAATAATACATTATTGACAAACTTCAAACATCTTTCGATTATAAATAAGTGTAGGGAGAAAGTATCATGTTGCAAATAAGCAATGTAGGTACTCACTCTGAAGAATCCTTCCGGATGAAATCCATATAGATATCTGAAACGACAAATATAGCTCATAAAATTTCTGTTACACAGACGCCATTAAATAATTAATATAATTTTTAAAAATATCTTTTTACTAACGGACACGTTTAAACACAAAATTCGTTCCGAATTGTAATGAAGTTATTTGAGATATGTTGAAGGTATTAGAACACTGTTCGTATTTTTTTTATGTTTGTTGCCTCATAACTCCGTCAATGAATAAACCGATTTGGATTTTTTTTATGAAAAGATATACTCACAGATTAATTCTGTAGAAATTATGAAATCAAAGTAACTGGTTTGTCACAACTGAAGTCTTTTTTTTTCTCTGGGACGCAAACTCACGGTCGCACTGAGAGCTGTTACTGATGTGATTGCTGTGAAGTATGATTACTGAAGTAACTTCATACTATGTATAAATTTTATGAAAATTAGTTAATGATTCATTAGGGGCTATTAACGGTAACTACTAATTTTGTTAATACATCAATTAACAATATTAATCACAATTAAGTAATATCTCATTAGTAAAAATTTAATGAACTTGCCTAAGTGCGGTAGTAAATTATGTAATATATATTATGTAATTATAGCAAGAATTCAATTGTTACAAAGACCATAACTGTTAAAATGTTGCGAAGCTCTACAGGTTTTTATATAGGCAACTTCTTAAGAAGAAACTGTTGACGGTTAATAAGTTAGATGAGATAGATAAAATAAAATTTATATTAAAATATGTTCTTGTTAATTGACTATTTAATCGTGTGGTCTCAGCATAAAATAGGCCATCTCTTATCTTCCCGTGGGTCTTGTAAGAGGCGACAACAAGGACATATGGTCGAGGCATAGGCAACAGCGTCCCTCTTAAAAATATTACCCAAAAGTCTAACTGTGGTTGCCAATCATGGCAACTACTAGTAAAACCTAACGGTAAACACCAATAAGAAATTGCACTAGTCCCCGGCGGTTTTGCTATTTCTGACCAAGGTAGCGGTCATGGTAAAGGTGGAGCATGGAGTGTTTGGAATCTCCGGCAGAGATTCGGCTAAAAAATGGACCTGGGCTATACCGACGGATATCCAAAAAATAAGATAGACTTCATCATGATGACTAATCGCTATTAGTTCAATAATGTGTCAGTGATCAGCAGGTTGGACGGAATAATAGTAGAGTTTCTGATAGCGGGTGGAAAACTTGTAGCTTTTCAGAAGCTATTTAATTTCGTCATCAGTAACGGCGTTACGTCAAAGGCGTGAAGCAGAAGTGTTATACTTCAACAAAAGTGGCAATAACCTATTAAAGAATTATGGACCGATATCCCTTCTGAATCGCATCTACGTACTATTTTTAAGATTCCTAACCAAATCGTCTTACTCTAATCGTAAACTTAACGAGTTTTAGTTACCTGAACAATCTGGCTCTCGAAAGGACTTTAGCAATAGAAACCACATACATACGCTACAGCAGATCATACAGAAGATAGAAGAGTGTAATATGCCACTATGCCTGGTATTTGTGGACTATGAGAAATCCTTTGGTTCGATCGAGACATAAGCGGAACTACAGTTCCTCCAGCGGTGCCATATTGACTATAGGTATATCGACGTATTAAAGTGTATATACAGTAAGATTACCACGTCTCTCTGAATAGAGAACCAGAGAACGAAACCCATCCCAGTGTAGAAAGGTGTAAGACAGTGTGACGTCATATCTTTGAAACTCTTCACAGTTGCATTAGATGATGTTTTCAAACTCCTAGACTGGAAAAGATTTGGTATAAACAACAATGCCGAATACATCACATACCT